CGCTGGTTGGTACTTTCACTTGTAAGTGATACAAGTTGCTGAGTCCATGCTGCTGTATGGAGGCAGGTCTGAATTCTGGGTATGAAGCAATAATGCTCCCTCATAAGCCACAGAGGCATAGGGGGAAAATTCAGCACCTGTATTAGCTGAGAAAAATTCTATCCTGGACTGATTTTTTTCAGGTCATTCAACCATCTCTTACCAAGGTGAAATGCATTTGTATCCATGGTATTGTTGAACCAGCAGGACCCACTTCATAATTTAAAGGGAGAACTCTGGAAGGGAATCATGTTATTTGTCTGTATTGTTGCTTGAACTACTTCAGGAATCAGTTAAAAAAGATCTTTTTCGATAGCTTACAATATGGTTTTCCTAATCAGTGTTATTGACTTTGATATGCTCTTCATTTTAGTCTATGACAGTGATTTTATTTTTGGCCAAGGCTAATATAGATTGGGTCTTTAAAACTGAAACAACGGCTAGGATTTTCCCAGAACTCTACTAAAGAGTGTTTAAGCATAACAGTTTTCCTGCACTGGAGGCTTTTGGTGTTAAGTGCTGGATGGTCTCTTAGCACACCTGCAGCAAATCTTGTGTTTAGCAGCTTGGACAGGACTGGCTTCGAGCAAACCAGCCATACCATCAACAGCTGCGCCAGCCTGCAGCAGCTGCTGTTTGGTGTTCCTTCTGAGCCAATCTCATCATTTACCACATCTTGAAATAGGCAGGACCTTTGTCCCCTTCTTTCTTCCATCTGCGTGGTGAGGTAGGCTCCCTTGTACTGTCTCTTTTGTGTGCTAGACCATATTTTCTGAATGGATTCAGCTTTTACTTGGCAGGAAATTACCCTCTTTTATTGCCAGTTCCTTGATGTTCTCTCTGTTCAGCGAAGTGACTTGTTTTACAGAAGTGCAGTAGCTTGGTGAGAGGGTGCTTGGCCCAGAGTAAGCAGTTTGAGTGAGAGGAGACCTCCCTGTCTTTCTCAGCAGCAGGGATCAGATCTCCTCAAATGGTGATGTGTAAATTGCAGACCTGGAGAGCCAGGTAATAACATGGGGAATGTGAGTGGTCTTACCACATCACTTTCCTTACTTTGTGCTGAGAGGCTGGAGTCTTCTCTGAAAAATCTCCTTTGTTTTTTCAAATGAGCCTTGAAATTCTGTGGAGAACGGGGGCTAAGAACACTGTAATTTTGTAATATGTAGGATTTCTAAGGGCAATTCTAGCCCTTTTGCTTTCTGAGGTAAAAGTTGTGGAGGATTACCTTCTGCATTTCTACGCTGCTGAAATTAACTTGGCATTTTGAAAGAATTTTCCTACTAGATTGGGATCATTCTAGCATTGTATCATTAGGATTTAGATGAGCTGGTTTTATTTCCTGAAAAATGATTTTAAGTCTAAGTTCTTCTATGGTTTTAAAGCTATGCTAAATTTACAATTATACATGTTTATGCCATTTGTTTAACTGTTGCTGCCAAGCTTGATGATTAAGTAAATCTCTATTGCTGAAGTTTTAGTTTTTGCCCAAGAAGTTTCTTCTCTATTGTGTCTTTAATTACAAAAAGCTTTATGACAAAATCTATTTCAAATTTTATTAAAGTAACTGGATTTGGATCTGTTGAGTCTGCTATGGACAGACCAGTAAAATGCAAATAAAATTGTAAGTGAACAGATTCGGTAAGGTGTACTAAGAGTGTTGATAAAATTAAACTTTATTAAAAACTCTTGGAAATACTTAGCAAATTTTATAGGGAAGTAGAAGTTTTGTGTGCTTTAATTTAATGGTTCCTATGCTTGTGTTCGAAAATATGGGAGGACATTATTTCTGAAGCATGCAACAGGGAGAAGAAAGTGTAGTAGTGGCATGTTTGGTTCTCAGTTTTTTGTGGACCAGCAGTGGCTGTACTGTGATTTTTTAAATTATTATTATTTTTATATTTTTTTGAGTTTTAGCAATGGGTGGTCAGCTGTGCTGCTTGCAAAGCCTGCCAAGACCCAGTACTTGCTGAGTCAGTTCTCCTGTCTGTTGGGTGCTACTGTGGAAGGAGGCTGGGGTGCTCTTTGTAACATTGACTTGCTTTGTTTGAGTAACTGACTTGCTCATATCCTGTCTGGTAGATCCAGCTGTGGATTGGAGTCTTAAACATGAGAATTTCTGTGATTTCTGTCAGCTCTTGAGGTAGGTCTGAGGAACTCTCGAGCTCTGCTCTTGAAACAAGATGCTACCTCTCTCAGATGTGAGGTTGACTTAGAAAGTGTGGGAAAAAAAGTGCTCTTATTCCTTGTGAAGAGGAAGTAGGATCTTGCACTTGTTAGGTCTTTTTGTAACTAGTGTAACTGGCTTGATTACTGAAGATTTTGTCTCTTCCCTTCAAAAATGAATCCAACTCTAATTATGACCAGCTGGTTTACCAAATGCAGATTTCTTTGTGGATCCATTGTTTCTGTCTGCTTTAACACATTATTATGCTAAATAAATAGAACACATTTGCAATTATTAATTTTTAGTAAAATAATGTGTAATTATAACATTTAAAGTATAAGGCCCGATTGCCATTGGCCCAATTATTATCTCCCACTTTTGTTTTAACTCCTTTAACTTGCTCAGAATTAATACTTTATGTACTCTTGGAATTTTTAAATTGCTCTCTTTTTGAAATGTAATATATTAAAACAAGAACAACTTTCTGAAACTGTGGACATGATGCTGGGTTTTAAGTTGATGGTCCTTGCCCACGTCCTGTGGGTGCTTTAAGGAGAGTTCCTTTTGCCCTTTATGTTTGCAATGTACAAAGTATTCATTTAACTTTTCAGTCATACACTGAATGTACATGCAATGCATGCTCTTATTTCTGTGCAGTTGGAACTGGCAGGTCTGTTTCAGTGTTCCTATTCTGGCTTTGGACAGGGGTTGCAGTAAATATTTTAAAGGATAGATTGTATCAGACTGATTTTAGTGCAGAGGTTCTTATGGTTAGTTTCAAGATGGCATCACATTTATTTAGTCTTTATTATATCTTCATTCTTGCGATTCATGGACGTGTAGAACTTATCTAGGAGAACATCTGATGCTGTCAGCATCAGACAATTTTTTCCTAATTAGTATGAGCTAAGTCTTTACAGTCTAAGTAACTGCAAAAAGCAATCTGTTTGTAGGCACAATAACAAAAGCTTGGATTTTTCAAATATAGATATGTTTGATTTGCTTTAGAACACTGTAACAGATTGTGCAGGTAGGAAAAGAATAGATTTTTGGATCTTGAACACAATAAATCTTTGGCATTTTATGTTAATGTTCTCAGAAGCAACTAGGTAAAAACTTGTTTAGATGAATATACATGTCTTTGTGAACTGTACTTAATTACTAATGAGGTGTGAAGAACTTCCCTTCTGTTTCTCTACTGTGACGAGGTGTGAAGAGGCACTAAGGGATGGTGAATGGAGTGTGGCTTACTTTACTTTGAGTGTATTGATTTAAGATTAAACCTCCTGAAAAGCGTGTAAACAAGTGGTTGGAATCATTAGGGTTGGTTCAGTGTCAATTTGGTGTTTGTTGAATGAAGCTTTGCAGAATCCCGTTTGGTATCTGCTTGTGTTCAGTGTTCTATTAATATTTCTGATGAAGGAGTAAAATATGCAGTGTTAAAATTTGCAGACAGTGCTAACCTGGAAGGGTAGGCAGGAGGTGGAGCTCTGAACACGGTGTCAACAAATGGGAGGAACAGCCTGCAGGAAGGTGTAATTCAAGGTCAAATAGAACTATATTTACATAGCAAAGAATCTGCAGAGGTGTGTGGTTAAACTGCAATTTTATAGAAGGAAACTGGCAGCTTAATGGATGAGAAAGTATCAATTAGCAAAGCAGTCACTCTGAAGAACTGGTTATACTTCTGCAAGATGTAGACCAGCTGAGGAAAGTTCAGAGAGGAGGAATGAAGATGTGAAGCGTAGAAGATATGACCTAGAAGGAAAGGTTTAAGAACCTGGTTCTCTTTTGTCTGGAGAAGATGACACTGTGGGGAAGCCTGGATAGCAATGTTCGATTAAGTAGAGAGGTTGCTGCGAAGAGATCCATTTTAGGGAGGACAAGGAGAAAAACATTGTTTAGAAGGAGGAGTTTTAATTTGGGCATTGAGAATAAAGAGTGTGACTGAAAGGGTAGATAGTGTAATGCATTGTGTAGGAAGTATATGGAGATCAGCACAGAAAAATATTTTCAGAGGTCTGGAGTATGGCAGAGGTTACCTGTGCCCACTCAGTAGAGCTGCTGTGTAACCACTTGTCACAGCCCTATTTTTTTATTTTACTTTATTTTTTTCAAGGCTATCTTTGCAATGGGAAAAGTGCTCTTTATCCAGCCAAAGTTAATTTATTCTTTTCAGGTTCTAGATAGTAGAAAAACCTACTTTTCACAGTGCTGGGTACTGCAGTGTTTCGTAATAATCCCCGATTGTTTAGTGTGGAATGGTTTAGTGATATTTATTGTTATTCCTTCATCATATTTTACCAACTTCTCTGTTGATTTAACTTGAGACACTTGCACTGAAAACATCCAGGTGTTTTCACAGGTGAACATGCAGCACCATTGCTGCCTAACAGCTCCATGTCTGACCTTCCCCCTGCCTCCCAACTTCCTTGAGAAGATCTTGGGGGGTTTTATAGTTTGGATGGCTGTGCATTTCTGTCCTCACCTACTTTTTTCCCCTCTTTTTCCTTCAAGTCTCTGGGGTAGTAATGTGTCAACTTTCAAACAGGGTGTCCGCAAAATTTGCTAGCTTAACCAGATAACTTTATCAGCTCCATACTTTGTTAATTGTATGAAACACAACTTTCAATCTTGACCTTATTTAGATTTAATTATCCCATAAAATGGAGTGGATTTTATCCTGAAGTGTAAAATGGTAATACCTTGAATAATGGAGAAGCTCTCCAAAGAGCTTCCTATCACATTTAACTAAACATTTTAGATGTCCCTGCTCACTGCAGGGGGCTTGGACGAGATGGCCTTTAAAGATCCCTTCCTACCCAACGCATTCTACGATTCTATGAACAGATTTAAGAATTCATCCATTTTAAACTGTGAAACAATGCTGGTGGCGACCGGTAGGTGGGGCAGGCAACCCGCCCCCACACCGTTACCGCTGCTCCCCGGGGCTGGAGAGCGGCGCCGGGCAGAGAAGGCTTTGCTGGAGCTAAAGGGTGGAGAGTAAGGATGTGTGCACATCATGGGGGCCAAATGTTTTCTGAACGTAGAGCGGAATGTATGAAAATCACACGCACGTATGAATTATTAGGACTTGCTACTGGATATTTCGTGCAAATGAAACATTGAAGGAAAGTTATTTTGAAGAAGGGAATGCTTAGCAATTCTAAAAATCTTGTGCTACCGAGGTTGGTAGTTGATTCTAGAGAACATCATATAGGGTTTTTTATGGGTGCCTCACATGAGAGATAGTAGGTATTTATGATGAAGAAATTAATTTGTAGATGTGATTAAATTTTATTAAAAAATTATTCCATATGGTTTTATTTTCCTCTAAAAAGTAACTGGTAGTTCCAGGAGCCCTGTTATGGGTTTCCAATCAGTCTAATGGTGCTGCATAGCATTTTGTAGCTCTTGGAAGGTTCCGTTGTATTTTAAAGAAACAAAAAAATTACTGATTATTGATTCAGTGATGATTTAGAGCCTTGTAACAAGTACAGAGGAATACTTCGTACAGGTTTTCATAATGAAAGGATTTCAAGCCTGTGTGATTTAGTGTTCTAAGGTAAAGCATGCAGGGAGTCCATTTTACACTATTCTCTTTCATGTGTGTGGTTCCTCTGTATTTTTATGTGCATGTGGATTTTCATTACTTTTTTTTAGGCTTTAAGTCTTCTGTAGGTAGACTTAATAATATATCCTGCTGGTAAAACCTGTAAATCTGCTGGAGTGTGTGAGTACTTTGCCTCAAGGTCCTGTTTCTATTCCTGCTTCACTTTTCCCAGATGTTAACCATACAGTTACAAACTGTACAGACTCTCTCTTTAAGGCTAGAATAGCCACGATTTCTGACTTGTAGAGAAGAGAGTGATGATTCTGGGCCACAGCTCTTTTTAAGCTACTGTTCTATTGCTGACATGTTGTGAGGCCTTGAGCTTTTTGAGATTGCATGAGCAACTAAGGGTTTGGCTTTTGGTGCTATTTTGTTTTTTCACCCTGTATTCCGTTTCAGGCTGTATTACTCAGGTTATGCTACTTTGCTGACTTCTAGTTTATTATGTTGCTGTTAATTTGTAACAGTAGGTGTCATGCCCATGGAAACAACAGAAGCATAAATGATCCCATACTCCTTATTTCTTTTCCTTTCACTTCACTCTGTTAGCAAGGGTGTTAAAAGATTTTTGTTGTGGAGCAAAATTTATTTGTAGAGGTAAAAATCAAAAATGAATTGTACTAATGAGAAAAGTTAGTTTCTTCAGTATTTTTTGCATGACTTTTGGTACTTAGTTTGATTTATTGTCAAGGATGGTCTTTTTGGTGCAAATTTGCCTCATGGAACGCGCTCGCATGTAATTCTGGTGGACTCAAAGTGCTTTCCCTCCTGACAGAACCACAGCTGAAGTTGTCTGCCAGTTATCGAGACAGTTGAGCACTGGGTAGAGCTCAGCACTGCGAAATGGGTGTGAAATTCTCCTGCAGTCAGTGTTCAGTATGTACCGAGGGCTGGCAACCAGTCTAAGCTGTTGCAGATGAAGATGTGATGCGCCTATAAAATTCTGTAATCAGTGCTTCCCAGCAAGTACTACCCAGTCCTTCTTTACCTTGTTGGTAATTTGGATGTGTTTGTACTTTGAGCAAGTTCTATATGATTCTTAGAATGTCTTCATAGTAGTGTTAACTGCAGGATCAGAGCATTATTGTGCAGTAGCTCTTACTTTTTAGAATTATGCTCTATATCAATGGCAAAATAAAATTACATTTTAACATCTTGGTTTTGTAGGTATGGCATTAGGGCATTGAGGACCTCAGGCAACGATTCTTTGCTACATTATGTCAAGTTCCGTGTTGGGTTTAGGGAAGCGCATCTTTAAGACTATATGGAAAATATCTGTCAGAGAATTTCCTCCCCACACCTCTCCAAAAGCCAGTTGGATATGAATGAGGAAGGGGTGTCTAGGGTTTGAGTAATCATCTCCAAAACATCTGCAGTGACTTGCATTCAGATTTGATAGACAAATAACTAAGGGTTTTGGGTTTTTTTTGAGTTAATGCAAAGACATCTATGGTACTATACCACCATGGTGTAGTTACAAAAGAATTTCATAAATATGATTTATGCTTATTTAGCCTCTCGAGACTGAAAGTCACAGAAGAAACACGGAGATACAATACATGGTGGAGTTTTTAAAGAGTGCTTGATAGGTTTACATCTGTTTCTGTGGAATTATTTGAGCCTTGGTTAACAATAGGCTTTTTACAGATGTTCTGCCTAGATAGGAATCATGTTTTTCTTCAGCAATTGTAAATAGGATTGAACATAAGAATTTTTCAGAATCTAGACGTTTTCTTTTATTTCAGATTGGTTTTCTGCAACTGCAGTGGTGCTTTTTGGGGAGGAAATTTTGGTTACACTCTTTATCTGTAAGTTACATATTGTAGAGTACCATAGTTCACACTGGGTCATAGTCACATGACTAATCTGTTTAAAATTCCCATAAAACATTTTAAAAATCAAGGGGAGAGTAATATTTTTTTGCTAATGAAGTTAGTGAGCTTCTAGAATTGTGGATACCCTACATTTTAAGCTGACTGTGCTGGCAGCACTGGGTTGCAGAATTAAGACTTTCGTCCTTGAGCTCTTTTCTAAACAAGTACATAACTCTTGCTTGCTAATAGTCAAAAGAGACCATGACCAGCCAAGTATAGCTCATGTTGGGAGTTTGCTCATGAGAATGGACAGGTAAGATGCTTCTTGTACACAAGATGTGCATGGGAGTGGATGGGAGAGTGTGATCAAAACAGACCTGGGAAGGTCTGTTCTCCCTGTGTGATAACAGAGTGGTTGAAGGAGCACATGAGCTAGTAACAATCCTGGCTGCGTAGTCTGGTCTCCTGTTTGTAACCCATAAATACTGCTTCTTGCTAATAAACTTTGTCTTAGCTTCTCTCAAGAGCTGAGTCTGTGCCTTTCAGCCCACCGCAGAGAACCATACTTGGCAAGTGTGTAACAGTTTTGTGTAAAAACTTTTAGAACAAATCTTGTTCTATGTGCTTCCGGAGATGATTTTCCCTTTAACTGAAGTATCATTCCTGTTATGCAAAACATAGGCTTCGGAATAGGATGTCTCTCTTGGTTAATTCTATCTTTAGCTAAGCCAAAGTGATGAGTTCCAGTATCCAACATTTATGAAGGAGTCCTAGGATTTCATCCCTCTTTCAAAAATTCTCATCCTGTACAATAAAGACTCGTAGCTTTTTCTTCATGCTACCTGTTCTCTCAGCTGCCCTTTCTGCTAACGAAGCTTCTCTTTAGCTTTGGTAGATCACTCTAAAGGTCACCAGCAGAGCAAACTCGTGAAGAGGATTACTCTTTATAGGGATATTTTTTCTCTTTTCATGAAAGAACCTCTCTCGAGGCTCTTCCTTCCTTAATCTAAAGGAAGAGGGGGGGAAAAAAAAAGGCAGCATTAGCTTTTTCTTTTTTTCCTCAAGTTGAAAAACCGGTGTATAATAGAAACTTGAACTTGTGCTCGAAGAGCTGTGATGTCTAGGAGAGCAATAAGGAAGTAAATTGTGTCTGTTAGAGAGGCAATGCTTAAAAATCACTAGAGGCTCACTACAATTACATTAATAGGCAAATATGCCAATATGAGAAGACTGAACATACAGATGTGTGTATGACCTCATCCTCATTACTACTTATGAAGAAATAATTTTCAACTTAGTCATGTGTGCCCCTGTAATAATGGAATAGATTTAATATTTGGCAATACTACTTAATCTTATTAATACATTTGAAAAATCGTAAAATGCCATGCACAAAATATTTTTTTTTTCCTCTTTGCATTTCATTAGGTGTAGTATGGAAAAAATTGAAGCATAAAAGCAAAAGAATTTGGAAATACCTATACTGAGTTGTCTAAGCTGGCTGCTAAGAATTGCAATTAAGTGATTTTTGCTAATGCTTGTTTTCTGTTGAATAATTGGAAGGGGGGGGGAAACTTACCTAAATTATGTGAAACCCTGAAGGAAGTGTAATGAAAAGTGGTTTAATTGGTTTTTTTAGTGAGACAGCAAAGCAGATTGTGCTTATCAGTAGTAATTGTTTATTTTCATGCCTTATTGTATCCTTTGTTAGTCATTGAAAATGCTGTTTATGGTGCAGAAAGCAGTGTTGCTTAGTGAATTAATGTATTATTTTCAGCTCTTTCTTGAAATACAGAAAAATCATTCTTGTGTCTGCCAGTTTACGTTAGAAACAGCTTGTGTGCAAGGTTACAGAGCCATTAGCACTGGTGCTTTTTTCTAAAAAGGTGGTCAGTGAACATACAGAGCCTGTTTTAGATCGAGGGAGTGCGAGATGAAAAGGTTTCAATCTGCAAAGAGTAATGAAGCGAAGGATTTGGAGAATGTGAAGAAAAGGAACAAGTTCAAACTGTGGTCTGTTTTCTTCCTAGTTTCAAATAGAAAGCGCAGTCAATTTATTTTCACTTCTCAGATAAGTGACCTGCCATTGGACCTTAAGTACTTTTTGAACCGAATTTCCCTCAGTTGCTTTTTTGACTCAGTCCCTTTGTACTTTATGTAAAAACATGATATTGTTATAAAGATAGAGTAGGAATGTGAGACAGAATGATGCGAAGTTTTTTTTGTTTCTTTTTTTTCCTGTGTGAGTGTGCATCTGCATGGCACGTAGCCCACCACCTTCCTGAGTTTGTCTGCCAGGAGTGACCAGTTGCCGTACCAAGGAGAATAGGTCTGGCTGAGAAAACTGGCTAAATCACCCATTTTGGAGTATGTAGAGTCACTATACTCTCATGGAGTGTGTGAGATGTGACTTGAAATGCGTTTGTGCAGAGAAAGGAATTGAATTTATTTCTGTTTTCTGGATAAAATGCTCTTAGTTCTGCAGTAGTTGAATAAAGGTGAATTGTATCTGTTTACACTATCTCCTTGAGACGCTTTGTTTTGACGCTCCCTGCTTTTATGCCCCAGCCCCCATCTATTCTCAGGTCATTTCAAGACAAAACTATTTTTGCTGGAGAAAGTTTTGAGCTTCTGTCAAAAGTGTACAGTGGTGATGTAGCTGGTGGAAGCTTTTTTTAAATTCTCATCTTTCTGTTGTGTCCAGTGGGCTTCGAGACCAAGTGCATGCGACATGTTGGTTGTGTAAGATGCTGCTTCTGACTTACCTGAGTCAGGACAGCGTGATGTCCCTACACAGTTTTTTAATCTACATTGATAGTCTGATGTATAGACAGAGTCTTCAAACATGTTCATCATTAATTCTCAAACTGTTTAAAGCAGTTGGAGGACATGCTTCTCTGGGAGCTGCACTACTGCCTGGTACGTATTTGAGCTACATTACTAAAAGAGTTTGAAAATGGGAGGTGCAGTGTGTCGCTGCCTTTTGTTTTGCAGGAAGTCATAGAGGTGTGTTATCCCTTATACATGCACTGTAATTCAAAATAGAGCCGTGGACCCAACACAAGCCTGTCTCCACTGAAGGCAGCCTCATCCCAGGTCGGATGTTGGGCAGTGATTTGCTCAGTTAAGGGACAGCCCATTGCCCAGAGCCTGAGGGAAATCTGGCTGATTAGTTCCTCTCTTCTTTTTTTTTTTTTTTCTGCCAAGTTTGCGCTAGGCTACTGACTTGCACAAGGAAAGTGGTTAATGGAGGGCGACAGTGGCTGCTTTTTTGCACCTTTCAGGGAAATCCTGCCTTGGTTATGATGAATTAGTTTTTGCTTGTGCCCTCTTTCCTTGCATCACTATGTTGACTGTATGGCTTCCAGACATCTGTGAAAATGGAAAGGAGAAAAACTGAGTTTCCTTGCTGACCAGCCCATAAATTTCTCGGGTCATTGAAAGACAAAGAAGAAAAAGGGCCTTGGTGACTATTTATCAAGCAGGTAGTTAGTTCTGTCTACATGTTTTCTGTTTTTCCACTGCTCTCAGAAATGCTGTTTAAAAGCCTGGGAGTTGAGGTTAATATCTTCTTTATGTAGCATTGCTATAGTATGTGATTATATGACTTTTTTTTTTTTTAATTAATGTCATTCAATATATATGTGTATATCTCCTGCTTCCTTGTTCCTTGATATGTGGTTTTGCATTCAGTTTTATAGTTATGCATTTAGTTTGTGTGTTAGGCAATCTAGTTTTTATCCTTGGTATCTTTTATATAATTTATTATTTATTGCTTTAATGTGTGTCTGTGTATTGGTCCTAAAAATTACCCCTTTTTGACCCCTCTTTCTGAAAATATTGTCAAATGAGGCCGTTCGTAACGGCAGCCTTACTGCTTTGTCATGCCACACCATAAATGCAATAAAGCAACTTAATTTCAAAAAACTGTGATAGCTGGATCTGCCAGTTGTTATAGAAGGATAATAGAGATATGAGGTTTTTCAGTAGCACGTGAAATTCTAATTAGGAAATTGCAGTATATTATTAATCCAAGATGAAAAACTTGGACTGTGCTACTGACAGTATGGCAGGCATAGTGAAAGCGGGGGGGAAAGGATGCTGTCCTTTTGAATTTTATAGTACCTCTTTAGGATGTTGTATTAGTGGAGTGTCTCTTACAGCTTTAATTTTTATTATGTGAATATTTTTGTCCTTTCAGTATATTCTGATTATATAATAGTCTGAAAAAGTGACAGATGTTGAATGTTTTAAGATAGAATTTCCCACTGTGAACCAAACATCAATATTTGTGTACTGACCCTCTAAAAATGATACATTACACCTCTCAGTAACTATCTTAAAGCAGTAACAATCACGAAAGTTCTAAAGTTCATGTTGAAAGTTTTAACCAATCAACATAAATATTTGTAGCAATGTATCTTTTAAAAACTTTTATTTAGAAAACACATGAATTTGACAAAGAACACCTGTGTGTCCCTGTATATTATATGGAATAGGAATAGTAATAGAGAATATGCAAGTCTTTAATGGAAAGAGAAACCAAAATTGGCTTCAGAAAAACGAATTCAACATTGCAGGAAATAAAAGCCTCGTGATATGGCTTACCAGTACTCATAGCCAATCTAGCAGATAACTGCTGCCAGATATGGGGGAAGGATCTGCTTCCCAGATCCCATGTTTCATGGCGTGCTTCCAACCCATCATACTATTATTTGTGCTTGTCTGATTCTGCTGTGAACTGATAGCAGAACTTGAGCTGGCAGAATGTTAAGAATAGGAAAGAGAAGAAAACTATTGATTATTTTTCTGCCACTTTAGGTGTACAATTTCAAAGAATACTGTTCTGTTTGGCATCTTTCAGATTTTTTTCTTCTTTAATGCTGTGCCAGTTGAAAATATAACAGTGTGGGTAAACACCACTAGGTATATTCATGTTTTGAAATCCATAGAAAAATGATGTGTAACTCCTTATGTGGTTTCTTTTTTAGAAAATAGATACATTTGAAAAAAAATGCAGCTTTTAACTTGGTACCAAATGTTATCAGATATTCATTAATTTAAAAGTAGGAAATAGTTGTTACTCAAATGTTACATAGGGTTTGGAGAACTCCTTATTCTCAGTACAGCCTATCTGAAACCTTTTTTAAGGTTGGTTTGTGTTTTGTTGGTTTGTTTTTTTGTTGTGGCAGTGTGTTCTATTGAGAAATTTTGTCACATATTCTTCCTTGCATGAGCAACCCTGAAACTTCTTCAACATGTTGCTTTTGATCTTGATTGAGAGTTTCTGGATTTGTGTCATTTTTGTTCCAAAACTGTATGCATGTAGGGGTTAAATATGCATACAAGTTGCCATAGAACTGAGGTGTTCTCTAAACTTCACTCTTTTTAGCAGATTTCGTTAAGTTTATGAAATAAGACTCAGATTTTACTCTGTTTTGCAGATGGGTGCTGCTTTGAGTGAGCTTTTTACATAATTTGTCATACTTCATCATTGATATGGGTGCAGAAGCACAAAGCTTTTCAGTATATAGCAGTTTATAACAGAAGAGGCTGTCCTATTCTGACTCATAAAGATGAGCAAAATTGCAATATCCTTTAAAAAGTCTGTTATGGAACTGTTCAGGTAGATATATGCCCTCAATAAACTCTGATTTCTTGGTGTTATGGAACTTCTCATGTGAGTTCTTTAGTATTTATTGTTAAAGCTGATAATATAACTGCTTTTGCAGTTTCAGAAGTGCTGGTGTAAAACAACAAAATGAAACAGTAAGAATTAAGTATACTGTTGGAGGTTTTCAAGCCCTGAGTGGACAAAGCCCCAACCTGCTTGGCCTGATTTAAGTTCTGACCTTCTTTTGAGCAGGTGGTTGGACAAGATGACCTCTTGCACTCCCTTTCAGCTTGGATTAGTCTATAGTACTGTGACATTAACACGTAAGAATTGAATCCATTTCTGAATATCGTCAGTCTTTAATGCAGCTCGGGATACTTCCATTTAGGAATGGTAGATTTGATAAGAACAAATCACTTTCGGTAGAAATTTTCGTTAAACTATCTGGAATACTAAGTATAATTTGGTTTTAGAATATGACATAAAACATTCACATATGTGGATCCATATGTATGCAATATATAAACCCCCTGACTTTGGCAAATACAGCCTATACATAGGAACAATCCGTAATCTAACAGAAAATGCTATAACCTTTGTGGCAATATACTTACAAAGTAAGGTTTTCTTGAAATCTGTTATTTCTGTCAAGACGGAGGCTCCTATTTTGTTTGAATTCCTGTTTTTGACTGAATGTATGTAAGAGACGTTCGGCTTTCTGAAGTTACTGTCAGTTTGAAAGTAACTGAGCTGTCAGGTTTTGCACGGGTCCATGTGACGGTTTTTATAAATTGCTTGATGAGTTTGCATGGTTGCCAGTAACTTTCGTATAATCGTTTCCACTGAATTAAAGAAAAAAACGCGGTTCGTTTTCTCTTGGTGGAAATGTATTGGCTTGGCAAGTTGAGAAAATCAAAAATCTCTTTATCTGTAGACAGCAGCTGGACACGTTTCCTACAGACTCTTTGCTCGCAGCATGGCTCAGCCTTGGGAGAGTGAGGCAAAGGACTACTTCTGCAGTTAACGCAGCTTGTTGGTTCTCTACTGAGTTTCCCAATTATTTATAATGAATTTATAATTATACCATTCTCACAACATACCTTATCCAATATCCCTCACTTTGGAGTTTTAACTAAAGTATGTAGAGCTAGATTTTAGCTGGTAGCTTCATAGTTTGAAAAATCATCTGACAAACAAAGTCAGTTTCCGAAATACTTGACAGGCTTCACCAACTTCCCAAGTCTACTTTTAATGTTAGAGAATAGAGCTTTTGAGACTTTCTTCCTGTGAGCATGCATTGCATGGTTATTAAGTTTATTTTATCTATGAGAAAATGATTTTCAAACTAGGTCTTTAGAAGCTGCAGTACAGAACTTCAGTGGTGTGTGGTAGAGGTTGGTTCATTTTGCCCCTGTAAGCCACCCATCTGAAGGATTGTGCAGCTAATCGTGTGCCAGCAGGTTACAGGTGTTTCTGAGATAGCAGCAGAGAGCAAACATCGGAATTTATGGTTTTGGCTTTTTTTTTTAAGTCCTTTGAAAGGGAATATAGCCTGGCATTTAAATCAGTAGCTTGAAACAAAATAACCAAGCTGTTTTCCTGTGGGGCTGTGTGTGGTTTGGTTTTTTTTTTCTTTTTTTCATGGCTCAGTGAATCTTAAGGGAGAGATTTACTCCTAATGGAAGCCCTTGTTCCAATTCAGTGAGGCATACGATTAGTACAAAATATGGCTGTAGCTTGTGGAAGTATTAATAATGATCTGTGAGAAAGATGAAGTATGACTTGTAGCCTCTTAGCACTTGATAATGTTATAATTTTACTGTGTGCAAAGAATATTTTTAGAGGTGAGTTTTTGGGTTTTTTTTCAGTTAAACAGTAATGAGAAGACAGTCTCTTTAATTTGAAGGTTTTAATGAATTCCAATTATTTGCATCTGGAGAACTTTTAAGCAAAATAATTTAGTGGACGTGTTTATTATATTTTTGTTATTGTGGTCAGACGTGAAAATATATTGTTATTGTGGTCAGACATACTGAAAAATAATTCAGTATAGATAAGTTAACAGCTTGCAGTTTTTTAGCAGGTGTTGTTGAGTATTATTACAAAATATTCTTTTTTGTTTCTTGAA